CCAGAAACGTTTGGCCAGTTTGCTTGTTCGAATCGCACGGTTTGCGTTTATTGGACTAGTTGCAGTTTTTCATTATTTACAGGTACTGCTACATAGGACTTTGCATTTAACCTTTTCTAACACTTTTTATACGTTTTGTAGGCCTTAAGCCAACAAATTTGAGCGTACAGAACAGGGTAAAAAACGCCGTTCGCCCTACGCAGTCTATATTTAACGAATTTTGATTGAATTTGTATAGCTTTTGCTTTAACCGTCAATAAAACAACCAAAATATTTTTCTTTAGAAAAATGCAGGTCAACTCGGTGGTTTCTATTCTCTCTCTGTTGCTTGTCCTCGTTCAATTCGTGGCATCTGACTGCGTTATGCGTGGAGCGTGTGATACTAAGCAGCAACTTATGTGTCAGACCAGTACTCAGCCAGTAAAAACAAACCCAGCCATCAAAGCTCACTGCCCGAATGTTAAAAACGCCAGTTGCTGCAGCCTTGATCAGATTAAGCTGGTTACCAGTGGTCTAAGCCGTGCAGAATATTGGCTGGGCAAGTAAGTAAAATGTTTTTTTACATATGTGTATGAGTAATATTTTTAGACTGTCACTTGCCCACAATACTTGCATGAGCTTTACATCGTATGTGTCAATGCAGTATCCCCTGAGATCTTGCATTAAGCCATCGGTATTTTGCGATAACAGTAAACGTAGTTTTGGTCATTGAATGCACGCGCATTAAGAGTAGATATCTATGTTATCTGTACGCAAGTACTTTGCTAACCGAGGTAGAAATAAAGAGTTTGACGTTTACGCCGATCGTTTCTGAAAAAACAAGCTTTGTTATAAATTTTATTGGCCATGCCTCATGCGGTCAGTCTCATTTCGTCATCATCTTCTCATACCGTCTAGGTGCAGTCAAGCTCGTTCGTATGCTTTTGCGGACGTAAGACTTCAAACACTTGAGACTACATCGCGAAACTTGAAAAAACATCGAATTACACCGCTAGTGCTAGTTAAGACTAGAAATTTGTGAGTGGAAGGTTTGTTGATTCCCTAGTGTCTTTTGTTAGAACATTTTGGGATATTATTGCTCAGTCAGGTTTTTGCCAGTGCTAGCAGTTGTTATTGGTTTTTCTAATTGAATTACATAACACGTCAAGTGCTTTTTACGTTCGTGGAGATATACATAATCTATAGCTACTTGTATAAGGCATGAACAATTAAACAATATTTTTTAAATGAAAATGGGGGATTGTGTCGTTTGCTAATTTGTTTACCATACAACTGGGGATCCTACTTTTGACAGATTATCGTAACTGCCGTTAAGTATCCTCTTGAGTACTGTTTCTCGGAAGCAACTTATCGAATTCTTCAGATCAGTGTAATGCTTACCAACCGTTGCTAGGACTTCGTACTTTTTAGTCTTTAGTTTCTAAAGACTAAAAAGTTCTACTCTGAACAATATGGCGGAATTTAAAATACTAGACCCATCACCAACAGTAACCCTGGCAACCAATTCTGTCTGTCTGCCCTGAGTACAGAGTACTTTAATACTTCCCTGATTTGATACTTTTTGCCGTGCTTTCGTTCAGCCGAGTGCCTAATTCATTTTCAGGGATACACAGTGCTTCAAGAAGATGCGAAATATGTTCTGCGATTTCCATTGCAACGCTAATCAGAGCCGGATTGTCGAGGTACTTCACACTGGCTGGGGCAGAACCATAACGGGTATTCGCGTACAGATTGAGCCTGACTTTGCGAACGCAATTTTTAAGGACTGTTCTGTAAGTTTTAAGTAGTTGCTAATGTTTATTCTTGCTTTCTGCCATTTATTTGCGTTAGAATATTACGATAGTGGTAAAATTTGGGTTGTTCGGAACTTATTTATTCATGTCCACAATTTTGTTTTCTTTTAACGTAAATACTTCGGTCTCAAGACCTACCTGTCGAAAATGGTTTAAATGGTCGATCTTAAGCTTTATTTACCAGACTGAGTCAAAAATCGAAAGCGGATAGTGTTCCTCCAAAGAGTGAGCCGCAACTTGGAGCTGTCGTCGTTCTTCCTCACTTCCTGACTTATTGGCTTTGCCCGGAACTGCAGCAGATCCAGTAAACCACTCTAGTTGTTTCCAACCGCCTTAGCGGGTTTTAGGGGTTCGGCTCCTGGTAGTTGCTTCAGGACTGTGTCCAACTCCAAATTCAAGTGGTTTTGGAAGGCCGTTGACGGCTTCGAAGATGTTCTTGTCGTAAAAGAGCGCGTACTCAAGTTTGGAGCCATTGGATTTGGTCTCTCGTCTTATTAGTGCTTACACCTTGGAACAGTTTTCCACGGTTATCCATTTGATCTGAGCCCCCCGTCATGGATATTGTACTTCAGCGGCTTTTTCTCTTTCCGGCTCACAACACTGCATCTCAACTCATCTAATTGCCAATACAAGCGAACATGCGAATCCCAGGAAGTAATTGAGAAGAAGACGACACGATCGCTAGGACAGTACATTTAGTCCCCCCACGTTTCAAAATCTGTCGCGGGTTCATCCTCAGAGACATTAGCAGGAAAAAGTACCTACTATTTCCTGCTAATGTCTCTGATGATGAATCCGCGACGGATGTCGAAATGTCAGGGGAATAAACGTATCGTTCCAGCGATTGAGTCGTCTTCTCAAAGATCCTTCTAATACCTGTACACATTTGCGTTTGTGGCCGATTGGTTGTTTGTCTCTTAAGCTCTGCCCTTGTGCCTTACTTTTGGCACAACTGT